CTCCTCTTCTCCAGGCTGAGCCCCCCCAGCTCCCTCAGCCTCTCCTCACAGCACTTGTGCTCCAGTCCCTTCCCCAGCCTCGTTGCTCTCCTCTGGACCTGCTCCAGGACCTCCATGTCCTTCCTGAGCTGAGGGCCCAGAACTGGACACATACTTTTTTTTATCCCCTAAAATATCTTTCTCTGCCTCTCCCTCTGCTGTAGGTGCTCTCAGACACCAAGCAGCTGGTTTCCACCAAGGTGACATCTGCCATGGACGCCGCCTGCGAGGCCAGAGAAGCCGTGGCTGATAAAGTCACCGAAGCTGTGGACCTCACCAAAAATGTGGTTGGGGACAGTGTCAAGCTGACCAGGTCAGTGGTCACCTCCACTGTTAACAGTGCTGTGGAGGCTGCCCAGGGAGCCAAGGAGCTGGTGACCACCAAGGTGACAGAGGCTGTGGATGTCACCAAACACATGGTGGAGGACAGTGTGGACAGGACCAAGTCTGCAGTTGCTTCCACCATTGTCAACGCTGTGGAGGCTGCCCAGGGAGCCAAGGAGCTGGTGACCAACAAGGTGACAGAGGCCGTGGAGGACACCAAGTCTGCAGTTGCTTCCACCATCAGTGCAGCTGTAGGGGCTGCCCAAGGTGCCAAGGAGCTGGTGACCACCAAGGTGACCGAGGCTGTGGATGTCACCAAACACATGGTGGAGGACAGAGTGGACAGAACCAAGTCTGCTGTTGCTTCTACCATTGTTAATGCTGTGGAGGCTGCTCAAGGTGCCAAGGAGCTGGTGACCAACAAGGTGACAGAGGCTGTGGAGGACACCAAGTCTGCAGTTGCTTCCACCATCAGTGCAGCTGTAGGGGCTGCCCAGGGAGCCAAGGACATGGTGACCAGCAAGGTGACAGAGGCAGTGGATGCCACTAAACATGTTGTGGAGGACAGTGTGGACAGGACCAAGTCTGCAGTTGCTTCTACCATTGTCAATGCTGTGGAAGCTGCCCAGGGAGCCAAGGACCTGGTGGCCACCAAGGTGACCGAGGCCGTGGATGTCACCAAACACATGGTGGAGGACAGTGTGGACAGGACCAAGTCTGCAGTTGCTTCCACCATCAGTGCAGCTGTGGGGGCTGCCCAAGGTGCCAAGGAGCTGGTGACCAACAAGGTGACCGAGGCAGTGGACCTGACCAAAGGGGCTGTTCAAGATAGTGTTGAGAAGACCAAATCTGTGGTCACCTCTACAGTCAGTACAGCTCTGGATGCTGCCTATGGCACCATCTCGAGCAAGATAAGCACAGCCCTGGAGCAGAGCAGGGAGGCTCTTCAGGAGGGCGTGGAGATGACCAACTCAGTGGTGACCAACAGCATAAGCAAGGCCAAGGCAGTGAGCCAGGCAGTGACTGGTGGTGTGGAATCTGTGCTGGGGATGTCAGAAGATCTGGTGGATCGCTTCCTCCCAATGGCAGAGGAGGAACTAGGTAAAAAACTACTTACTTGGCGGCTCTAAATGCAAATCCTTTCCCACGTGACTAGAGAGCACCTGACACAGCAAGACTCAGCTTCTGAAGCAGACAGGTAGCTCTGAATTTGCAAACACCAAATTGCCACGTGGTATGGGACAGAGTTCAAGCATTTATTGATCCATCAGCCTCAAGGTAAATAAGCACGTGGGTTCACGCTCCAACCTCTCCATCAAGTCTGCTTTTCTGAAGAGAACATGTTGAGCAGGGACTGCCTTTAACACCTGAGCGACCACAAACCTCTCCTGTTCCCACAGCAACCTTCCTGTCCTCCCACGGGTGATCTGACCTCTCCCCCCTCCTCACAGCTGGGGGAGTGAAGCCCAGCTGCATCTCTGTTCTTGTTTCCTCCAGGTAAACTGGCCACCAGCGTGGAGGGCTCTGGGATGGCTTCCGTGGAGGAGCAGAAAGAGCAGCGGAGTTACTTTGTGCGCTTGGGGTCCCTGTCCAGCAGAGTCCGGCTCAGAGCCTACCAGCACTCCCTCCACAAGCTGCAGTGCATCAGGCAGAGCACCCAGGACACCCTCTCACGGCTACAGATGGCAATAAAACTGGTACAAACACGCTCTCCCCCCTTTCCTCCTGTCTGTAGCCCTCCTGCCCTGCTCTCCAGCTGGAAGCTCCTCCTCTACCCTGCACCAGCTACGTGTCACCTTGGATCCCTCCCTGGGAGGGAAGCACTTGTGCCTCTCTGTGTGTGCTTGCAATACAGCTGTTCCTCTCATTTTTCCCATCAGATTGAATCTGTGAAACAGGGGTTTGGCCAGAAGCTGCTGGAAGGGCAGGAGAAGCTCCATAAGCTCTGGGTGGACTGGTGCCTGACCCAACCCAAAGGAAACCAAGTTCAAACTGCCTGCCAGCCAGAGGTATCCCTGGAAGGTGTATGTGACCTGGCCTCAGGTGGCTGGTGGCCATCCCACCTGCTCTGGTAACTGAGCTGTCTCTCTCCCAGCAGGTAGAGTCCCGGACTCTAACTATGCTGAGGATCATCACCCAGCAGCTACAGCCTGTCTATGAGAACCTGAAAACCAGCATCCAAGGCCTCCCCAGCAACATCCAAGAGGCTGTGTATCAGGCCACTCGAAATATCCACAAGCTCCACAGCTCTTTTTCCAGTGCCATGTCTTTCCAGGACCTCTCCAGCATCACCCTGAGGCAGAGCCAGGACCGTGCGACAGAAGCCCGGAGGTCCCTCGATGTCCTGCTTGAGTATGTCACTCACAGCACCCCTCTGAACTGGCTTGTGGGGCCCTTCAGGGCCATGGCTGAGGTGGCACAGGGCAGCAGAAAGCAGAAGAGGAGAGAGATGGTGACTGATGGAAAGTTACCACTGTTGGAAAAGGCTCCGGCATCACAGGGGGTGACTGAGACACCCAGAGAGCCCGAGGGATCCAACAGAGTCCTTGGGCAATGGTATGAAGTGCTGGAGAAGCTGGAGGAGAAGGCAGAGAAGCTGGAGAAGGAAGCAGGGAAGCTGGAGGAGGAGGCAGAGAAGGTGAAGAAGGCAGGGCAGCTGGAGATGGAAGCAGGGAAGCTGGAGGAGGAGGCAGAGAAGGTGAAGAAGGCAGAGAAGATGGAGGAGGAGGCAGGAGAGATGAAGAAGGCAGGGAAGCAGGACATGGAAGCAGGGCAGCTGGAGAAGGAGACAGGGAAGGTGAAGAAGGCAGGGAAGCAGGAGAAGGAAGCAGGGCAGCTGGAGGAGCAGGCAGGGAAGGTGGATAAGGCAGGGAAGATGAAGAAGGCAGGGAAGCGGGAGGGGAAGGCAGAGAAGCTGGAAGGGAAGGCAGGGAAAGTGAAGAAGGCAGGGAAGCTGGAGGAGGAGGCAGAGAAAGACAAAGAGGTGGCACTGGCTGCAAGGGAGATAAACACTAGAACACCAGAAGAAGCTCTCTAATAAATCCCAGCTCTTCTGGCCAAGCCTCCCTGGTTAGAACAGCCCTTGCTGTTTTACTCGTGTGTCCAGTTGTGCCACAAGTGCCTCCTGCTCTGAGTTTACAGTCAGATGCAGTTGCCAGGAGATTTGATAACCGAGGGGGGGTGTGGTTGTGTATCTTGATTTACTGTTTTTAAATCACCACTGCTCTGAAAGGGAAGATGGGGACCTGCACTTCAGCTTTGTCAGCCCAGCTGCACGTGTGAGCGGCTGATTCTTGCTGTGGCAGAGAAGTCGTCGTCTCAACTCCTTTTTTAACGTTGGATTTGTTTTTAATTCACCCAAGCTGTGGAAAACTTGAGAAGATGCTGAGCTGGACTTTTGATGCCGTTTCCCGCCTTCTGTGAGTTTAAAAATCCACGGCACAGCCCCGACTTCCTCTGTGCCTCTTGTTCTTCCGGGGAGGCTCGGCAGGATGTGGCACAGCTGGCACAGCTGGAGCAAGAAGCTGCTCATCAATAAGAGGTTTCTCTTCATGGATCACCCAAACACTTCTTCCTTCACGGAGAAACACTCAGCAGGGTGGGGTTTTCTTTAATCAGGTCGGTTTTTAGGGGCTTATCTTTCCTAAAGTTCTGTGACTGACTCCAGGGGTCGTTATTGTGTAACTCCAGGCCTGAAACACTTCACAACCACTAAGCTGGCAAACAAGGCAGGTTTTCCCAGGAGTTACTCTGCCATGGAATTAGGATATTCTGTTATTAAAGGGGGGGGGAGAGTGTAGGTGCTGGTTCTTTCCCAGCCAACAATGCTTTGTAACAATTTCTAATGTAATTTATTTTGGTAACTTGTGTCCTGTCATGGCCCCTGTGCTGGGGCTGCTGAGCAGACATCAGAATAAAGCGTGACCTGCGTTCAAAGACGTGTGGGTTTGTGGGAACCCAAAGCTGCAGTGTCGAGTTCTCCCCTTACCTGAGCTGCTTCAAAGCTTGCATTTTACCAAACCTCTGGCCAGCTTGGTCCTGCTGGAGGGGAAAAAAAACAAAGTGCTTTTAGCAGGTCCCATGCTTTCTTAAGCAGAAAAATATCTTAATTATTTTGTCCCCAAGACTTCTGCCTGAGGCTCAGGTGCTTCTGTTCACTTCCCACTCCTGTCTCTCCCTCACCCCTCTGCATCCTGGGCTATCCAGCCTCGCTCATCCCACTCCCAACACTTCCTAGAGGCAGTGCCCCCACTGCTCTGAATCCCCCCCACCAACAACTGCATTCTTATTGTGTATTTGCTGCTAATATTTCTCTCTTAGACTCACAGCTTCAAGTTCATTTTTTTCCCCTAAATTCACATTTCTTAGCGTTTAATCAGCATCCTACAGCAGAGTTAGTGAAGTGTTAGGGAATGTACCCAAACCCAGGAATGACACCTGGATTAAACGTTTTCAAGCTCCCCCATTCATTGTCACCTCAAATCGATTAAGCTACTGATTGAGGATTTTATTCAAGTTCTCAAAACATCTCAAGAGGAGCTCATAATTTGCCTTTTTGTTCTTTTTTTTTTTTTTCTTATTAAATGTTTTGGTGTCACCTCCACATTCTCATGGGGGGGACACCGGGCAGGGCTGGTCCAGTCAGGGGAGGTGGCGGCTCACGGAGGGGCTGAGATGCTGCTGCTGGAGTTCCCTGGTCGCCGAGCCCCGGCCTCACTCCCCGAGCCCTGGAGGAGCTGTCCCCTGTCCCGGTCCCCAAGCCCTGGAAGAGCTG